CGAATTATCATGTCTTTTGCACTTGAGGTTGGAATTATCGTCCGACCTCTGTTTATCTACCAGCTCTTGAACCTTTGAGTCCAAGTCCTCGATTGTGGCTTGAACTCAACGTTCCCTAGCGAGCTTACAGATTTTCAGTCGTAGTGTGTTTAACACATTTACTATTATTGAGGTATGCAAGCATTAAAGTTGGGGTCTTGCATAGTTGCTATTCTTTATCTTAGAAAGTGTATGTGCAATCTATGACAGATTAACATCTTCGTCAACCTCAATTACTCCACGAGCAGCTGTGGAGGTATTCTAAAAAATTGTTTTGTAATTGGTAATTACTGAATATCAACTTGCTGAATACATCATTTTTGTACTGGGTTTTTTATGTTGGAAAATAGGATGGTAAAACTGATGGAAGTCCAAGCGAAACTGACACCGTTCCGATTCCTAAAGTTATTATTGACCAAGATTCTGATCCAGATGCAACGGTGGTGGAGATAACCTTTGGAGACCGGCTTGGAGCTCTTCTTGATACTGTATGGAGCATTACTTACGTCTTTCAACAATATTTTTATCTTTTGTTTTCTCCTGTATAGATTTTCATATATTTGTTTGAATGATCTATCTTCATCTTTACGTCTGAACGTAGATGATAGCATAGATTAATTATCATTAACTGAATCACCAGATGAGTGCACTTAGAAACCTCGGCCTGAATGTTGTCAAGGCCAATGTCTATTTGGATTCTTCTGGGAAGCATAACAAGTTTGCCATCACTAGAGCGTGAGTATACTTCACCAGCCTCATGCCCTTGCATTGAGTATAGTTTTGCCTTGTTGCTATGACGTTGTTATTATTTGTCAATTTGCAATTGATTTCAATGATCTCTTTTCTGCTTCTTCTACTTCTTCGTCCGGCTTTAATTTCCCTTCCCTTGTGCATAGAACTCTCATACTTGGGGTATAATTGTTTTCTCATTGGATTTATGTGCTGAAGAAAAAACAGTTTTCCTTAAAGGGCATTAAAAATATTGCTTCCAGTTAAATCATCAACCTTCTATTTTGGTGGATTAACGGGTCAGTACTTCCAATAGCTGTTTTGTACTCATTTTCTTATTTGATGGTGGGGTTTGTTTGCAGTGATACTGGTAGGAAAGTAGAAGATCCAGAACTACTTGAGGCTATTCGATTGACAATTATAAATAATCTGATAGAGTATCATCCGGTAATCTTTCTTAAACATTTCCATTTGTTCTTGAGATAGTATCTGGTGGAATATCTTCAGGATTTCTACATTTTGTAAGCTTTATTAGTGAATTAATTTTGTCGTTAGGAATCAAGTTCCCAGTTAGCGATGGGAGCAGCATTTGGAATTGTGCCTCCACAAGAACAGGTTTTCTTGCAATTTATTAAATTTTCAAACTTTATGTGGGGAGACTGTTTGTGCAAAGGTTGGTTAGTTCAAGTTTCCCATTTTCACGTTCTAGCACACACATAATTCATGTGTCATGTTTTGAGGAAATTCTCATTTGAAGTTCACTCCGTAAGCATTTTTTTTTTCCAATTGTAGTCATTCTAGAGTCATTTCTCTCCTTAATGAGTATTATGAATTTTTGGGAATAATTTTTTTTGCCTATCACCTTTTGATTTTGTTCACCCATAAGGTAATTAACATATTTACTTGACACTCAGCTAATGTGGTAGCATCTTAACTTCCAAAGAGTCTTGTTTACTTTTACGCCAAGCTGTTTGATCCATACCTAGTCGTCATTTTTCCATGATCGCATCCCTAGCAATTTTCTTGATTCAAACCTGTATTTAATTTTTCAGGTTGATGTGGACATAGCGACCCACATAAGCGTCAACGATGATGGCCCCACCCGAAGGTAATGTGTGTCATTCTTTTTCGATAGGATGGGCTTCTAGAACCCCATAGTCAATTCCTATGCCAAAAATTGTTGCGCCAGCAGGCACACAATAGTCTTCAATTGTTATGCATGTGTGACATCGCGTTTGAATGAATGTGTTCAGCTAATATTGGGTTTCTGCAGTTTGCTTTACGTGGAGTCAGCAGATCGCCCTGGATTACTGGTGGATCTTGTAAAGATTATAATTGACATTAATGTTGCTGTTGAATCGGGAGAATTCGACACAGAGGTGTGCTCTTTTCTCACCTACAGTTGCAGCTTCAATTTATCCTTTTCTCATTTTTTTTTTTTTGGGTCTCTAGTATCCATGTGTATGGAGCTCATCTCTATTATTATTTTCTTTTAGTTTTTGGTAACCAAGTTCATGCTAATTCTTATCTCGGAATTAGGGGTTGTTGGCAAAGGCAAAATTTCATGTTAACTACAGGGGTAAACCTCTTATCAAGCCTCTTCAGCAGGTAAAGCTAGAATTACGGCAATGTTAGAGCATTGGATTTAATATATGATAGCGGTAGATGTGCTGAAAGCTAACTGTTTTCTTGTTTTCTAAGAGAGAGTTTCATCATTCACCAACTTCAACTTTACAATCTGATTAATTCCGAAATAGACTTCTGTTTTCGTGTGTTCTGTTACAAATTAAAAGATGACGTCTGAGATTACTGACCGTAAAACCTGCAATTTTTTTAGGTTCTTGCTAACAGTTTACAATATTACTTGAGGCGACCAGCAACTGAGGAGGCGAGTTTTTGAGCCAAATGTAGATTATATTCAGGAAGTATACTTGGAATTTCCAAAACTAAGCTGAGGGAAATTCTGGAACATTGTCGCAGTATTTTGCTCAGTTGAAGGATAAATGGATCAGAAATTGATACAAGAGTCAGATAATGTAATGCAAAAAAAGCTTTAAATTCAATACCAATGTAAAATGTTTGTCCAAATTGTTGTAATGATATCATGGTTACCCTTCTTTTGTTTTTTGGTAACCCATTCCTTCATCTCATGGTTCATTTTCAAAAGCTGCTTCATGGACGCATATTTTTGTTGTTGTTGTTCTGACATTTAGCAAGGAATGGAATGTCCGGTACATTTATTTTTCACGAGTGAACGGTTGATGCTTGATAAAATGAGATTTAGTTAAACCTTAACCGTTCTTTTTAGTCCTTTCATGCGCAGGAGAGCAAAGCTCTAGCAAGGAATATTGTAAGAAATTTGACACGGGTCAGTGGGTCTCAAGTCAACAACATTTTATCTTTCTTTTCTGTTGCTCTCAACTAGCCTCCGGTTATGTGGTGGGTAGCAATGCAACGGTCTCAAAATTGACCCGTATGAACGCGAGGATGGCATATATTGTGATGAAGTCGATGATTAATTGTGGCTGCCATTGTGATTTCGTGGCTTCTGTTGAGTGAATCATCTCGTTGGAGACGAAGCATAAACAAATGATATTATCTATATTACAGGGGAGATGGTGGGTTTAGTCTCATAATACGCTAGCAATAATGTGGTTTAAATTCGTCTTTGGCGAGAATCGAATCTAAGATCTCTCACTTATAAATGAAGAAGAATATAATTGGATTGTAGTACTAAGTAACGGATAAACTTACTATTAGGTACATACTTCTTGCACATCAAAATACATTCTTCTTGCGTTTTCTAGAACAACGCATATTAACACACGTAAAGGTGGGCTAGGTGGCAATTTGCACTTAATGATTGGTTTCGAGTCCGCCTGCGAAACAGTTAGATATCCGTCAACAAAACTGTTTTTGTAACTTCGTCAAAATGAAAACATCCATCCCTCCATCCCTCCATCCCTCACCGCCATCTGATCCCTCACCTCCCTCCACGACCCTCTCAACTCCTTGATTTTGAACGTGAAGCTCGTCGTCGATCTTGTCGATCTCTTCGAGATCTTATATTAGTTAATTCAGAACTTGAAGTCATAAAAGAAATGCAATCATAGGTATCTGTACGAGAAAAAAAACACCTACATCATTAATAGATTTTCCCAAGGTTTTTAGCTATAATTCCAAACTCATCATCCAATGACACATGTACGGAAACTGATAGAGACCCTCATGTGCTTCTTGCATCAGCTTCTCCCTCCCTTTATTCTTATTTTTCTTCATGTTATCTTGTCATGTTATTCTTTCATTTGAAGAATATATTGCAATAAGTGGCACCAATATGTTCACACTCGTTTGATATTTCAATGATCAATATTGAGAATGAATCCAACGTTGAGAAAAGAATGACTTTGTATGTGCTTCTAAAGAATTGAGTTATTCCTTAAATTACCAATTGGTTTTATATTGGAACATTAACTTTCTTCATGGTATTATAGAAGGTTGGCCACACCTACTTCACGCCACTCAATTTTTGTTGTCCACGTGTAAGGCCAGAAAATTTAGCACACGTGAAATGGCGTATTGAGAATGAATCACACATTGAAAAAGATTTCCATGTGCTTATAAAAAGTTAAAATACTCTTCATATTAATCATTTGTTTTATGGTATAACCTCAACTTTCTTCGTCAAATAAACAAGAAAATGAATCTAAGAAAGGAAATTTGGGGGGGTGCTTTTTTCAGTTTTTAATTAGTTTTAGTGAAATTCTATTTATGTAGTAGGGTTGCCTGTCGTTTAGCAAAGGTTGCACCGTCCATCATTAATGCATTAATGCAATAATGTGGTACATAGGTGTATGGTTCAATCAAATAGTCTCCCATTGTATTTTTAGATTTATTGTTAGAAGATATATCCGAACTATGCCACTTAATACTACAGACAAATGGTTTTCTCATTCACTTGTAATGAGAAGTTTTAAGTTCGATTCCTGTCAATGACGAATTTGTAAGGCTACTCCATTGTGAGGTTTTGCCCACTTCATCATTTCTTAGTGTAAATAATATCGTATGTATTAAAAAAATACCCAAACTATGTAATTGTGGTGGGTGGAGCCGTCGTTATCTTATCTTCAACTAGTTTGAAAGTCCCAATAAGATCTTAATGACGCCACAATAATTTTGCATCCTATCTTCATGTAAGATAAAATTAAAATATGGCTAGGATAAAATTAAAATATGGCAATCAAACTTTAAAATTAATATAAAGTTCATAGAATTGTATTCTTATTCACAATAATTATGGATAACATTCCATATTAATGACTACAACCAAGCATTTTATGGTGGGAACATGCATGCCCTTCCTTCAAAATGGCAGGGCATCACTCAGTTTGGAAACCCAGCAGCAAGCTTTGCTCTCAAGTCCTTCCGCAAGATTTTGCCCGACGGTGACTTCGGAATGGCTTCGATGAAAAATACTCGATTTATTCTTTTATAAAATACAACCTGCGTACAATACACAAAAAGGTCAGTGGCACTGGCAGATCAATTAGACAACCTGCCATAACAAAATTCAATTAACACACAATTCTCTACAGTGCTCTGAAATATCAGATATTTTAGAATTTTCAACCGTTCAAAAATACAAAATCATGAACAGATGGTGCTCATGTTACAAAAACACGTCAACCTTTTACTGAACCCTACCAAAGTTAATTTTGGAGCAATAATTTTCTTGTATGGGGTCGGTTTTGATTGCGGACCAATAATATAATCCTTTTTTAGGTGGTCATTTTTGGATTTGATGTGACATGAAACCCTAAGCATCTCACAATTTAGATCTGGATGATGCCATTCAACCAGTTAGGCAGACTGTTATGTTTGACATTTTCGTTGCTATTAGCCCTATTGGCAATGTGATATGTATGTTTGTTTTATATAGTTTTGGAGTTTTTCATAATTCACAAGGACCTTAGATGCCCCAACTACTCCGCATATATTCATAGAATCAAACCATCTATGATCACACACATTTCCCACTTTAATGAGTTATTCTCAGATAAGTAGCACATATACACTTCAGAGCTCGTGAGACATGCCGAATGCGACAGTTGTTATTTTCTTGTCTAGTGGTGGATGAGTGACATGTATTATTTTGGTAAAACATAATATGTAATACGAATCTAGTAAATTATAAATAAAAACTTGTAAACATTGATGTGTTTTTTTTTCTTTTTTTTTTTTTTTTTGTTTGATCAAACATTGATGTGTTTTTTACCAACCTCATGTGGACCTGGAGTATGCTTGTAGGTGGGGTGGGGGAAATAGGATATATGCTGCTAACCAGAAAATGTGTGTGTGTGTGTGTCCAGTAAATAGTTAAAAATAACAGTTTGCAAGATTTAAAGGAATATTAAAAGTAGTAAAAAACTTTACCTGTTTAGAGATAAATTGCTTGACTTCGTCCTCAGTGAGCTGAGACTTATTTGACCTTACTACAAATGCAACCGGAACCTCTCCAGCTGCCTCATCCTTCATTCTGAAGTCACATAAATTGCACATGAAGGTTTAGTATATAACCAAATGGTATCATGCCAAAATAATTATAAAATTATTGTATGGGTCGGTCATATATATTTTGAATATTATAGGTATCCCAACACATTGATGGTAGTCTAATCTCTTTTCCCATGCAGCCCTGATACCACATGAGTCGGCATCATACTTTTGGCTCTAACCTAAACAGAACGCCAAAGCAGAGCCGGTGACCCTAAAAATGAATCCGTAGGAGTTTGAACAAAACCCGATCATACATATTTTATTCTCACAATATAAACACGATTGTTTGGGTTAATGACTTACGGGACAACAGCAGCATCAGAAACACTAGGATGGGTGATGAGCAAGGCTTCAAGTTCAGCAGGGGCCACTTGAAACCCTTTGTATTTGATCAGTTCCTTCAACCGATCGACAATGAAGAGCTCATCATCATCATCAATGAAGCCTATATCACCGGTGTGTAGCCAACCTTCCTTGTCTATGGTTGTCCTTGTCGACTCCGGATCATTAAGATAACCTGATAATTTTCGGCATCAAAAATCATATTTAATTGCTACGTACAACTATAACAGTCTTTTTAGTAATAATAATAGTAATAAAATGATAGTAATACAAAAATTAAAAATAATAGTAGTAATAATAATATATACAGTTCGAATCCGGGGACACACATTTTGACACAAATTTTTGTGAGGTAGAACTTAATATATATTACCTTTCATGATCTGGTCACCTCTAATGCAAATCTCTCCAGGCTGGTTGCGTGGCAAAGAAGCACCAGATTCAGGATCAACGATCTTGAGCTCTGCATTTCGGACGACGGTGCCACATCCACCTGGTTTGACCTCGAAGGGTTGCTTGGCAAATGCCAATGACATGGTCAATACTGGCCCTGCCTCTGTCATTCCATATCCCTGCAAATGATGATTATACTATTTAATTAAAGTCTAAACATGCTTAATCATGATATGTATCTACATGAGAAGCCTGAAAGTCAAACCAAACAGGCTACATATAGAAATGTCTCTGTCACATTCTGAAGTCATCCTTTGAACAATACATGAACAAATTGCTTATATTATATACCATCTCTCCCATTTAATTAATTAGTCAAATAATCTTTACTCGGAAGCTTCAAATAATAAAGAGAAGTATTAAAATACGGAACATAAGCAGGCTAGTTGTTTTTATGTAAATTCATTGGAATAGATTACATATATAATAATAAGTTTCTGTGCAAGTAATTAATTGTCTTGGTGGTTAGAACATTTCTCTATAATTAACTGCTGCCCGAATTCAAATTGTCTTGTTTCCTTGGTGTGTGTAAATGTAGAATATTGCTCGAGAAAAAATAATACTAAATTTGTGTAATTTTTTTGAAAAGTGTGATAAAAATTTCTGTTAATTAATAATGTTCTATATCTCAACAAAAGAAGGAAAAAAAAAAAAATTTTTGGTAATTAAAAAAAAAAAAGAAATATGCCAAAAAACTTGTCACATGTGAATGATACATCTTTCGTTTTCATCTTGTAACAGTACAATATTGTTGGGAATAATTAAAGTGTTAGGTAAACCCATTAATCAATTAAATCTTCCTCACGTCATGTTTTTTGTTGTAATTCCTATATTAATGGGTGACCATCAAAATCTTATCGTGTTTTATAAATTACGTTAAATTATTTGTTTCTCCATTTTTGGTTGCCTGTCAACTAAACATTTAAATAATCAATATTTTTAGATTGTGGGTATCTTTCCCTATGATTATTTTTTCAAATATTTAACGGTTTGGAGTACAAACGTTTCTTTCTCCCCCCCCCCCCCCCCAACAAAACAAGTGGATAGAAGTAGATAAACTGGAATTAATTCTAACTCCTACATGATGAAAAAAGGTGTTTCTTTCTTCCCCCCACCCCCCCCCCCCCCCCCCCAAAACAAGTGGATAGAAGTAGATAAACTGGAATTAATTCTAACTCCCACATGATGAAAAAAGGTAAAAGGTCTCAGAGAAGAAAATGATCCTATTTGACCGCTATACATTGCTAGCATCAGAAAATGGAATAGTTGGGAATCTCGAGTAAATATTTGATGTAACTATATATTTACATTAAAAGTTAGAGGAATAAAGTAGTTTTGAATTCATTCAAAAGATTCGAATCTAAACTCTGTTATTTATAAACAAAGATGAATATCACTATACTTATTTTGTAGTTTTAAGTAGCTTGTAGGTAACAAGATTTAGAAGTAAAACATGAGGATGAAATGGAGTCCCTTATGCCCAACCAAATACATTATGGTTGGTAACTTGGCAAGACATTAATCTATGCTAACCACTCAGAAATGTGCAACGCATCAATCAATTATCAACTTCTTATATTTGCAAACATATTTAATATGTTGCAAAAATTAGTTACCAAATTAGTTACCTTAAAGAAAAGTAATTATATTCATATCATGTTTTTATACCACATTTCTATACCATTTTAGGTGGCATCTATCCACATCATTTGAAAAATTTACAAAACCCACAATCATCATTTAATTAACTAATTTTTCTTAATTATTAGTTTATTAAATAATGAACTAAATTTAAAAATCTAATTAATTCAAATGATGTGGCTATCTACATCAAATGCCACCTAAGGTGGTATGAAAATATGGTACAAAAACATGATATGAACATTACTCCTTAAAGAAAGAAAGTGAACCAGGAGAAAATTAAGATACATTAATCCTAGATCATGATTTGGATTATCTACTTGTATTTTTTTTTTTTTTCACTTCGATTGTTTTACCAAAAATGTTACGAAAACGCATTTATGTGTATGCTAAATGTTACAAAATGCATTTATGTGTACCATAAATGTTAAGAAAACGCATTTACATGTATCAGATATCACATTTAGTACTAAAGACTTTTAAAATCACACTTTTTATTAGAATTGTAAAATGTAGTTGTTTGAAGCATAAGTATACACGATACGACATTGAGAAAAAAAACATATACGAATATAGAATGTATTAACTGTGTACGTACCTGACCAAGTGTGACATTGGGAAACTTGGCTCTCACAGTATCCTCAAGCTCCTTCCCAAGGGGTGCCCCTCCACATTTAAGCACTCGAATTGACGACAAATCGTACTTCTCAAGATCGGGAAACTTGGCAATGGCCAACACGATCGGCGGCACGATCGGTGCAATACTAACCTTGTACTTTTCGATCAACCCCAACAGAGAAACAATCTCAAACTTGTTCATCATCAAAATGGCAGCTCCGGCTCTAAGTCCACAAAGCAATACCGAGTTCAAAGAATAAATATGAAAAAGTGGCAGCACGCATAAGACGACGTCGTCGGTGCTATAATACAAGTTGGGATTTTCCCCGTCCACCTGCTGAGCAACGCTTGTCACAAGACCCTTGTGCGTTAGCATCACCCCCTTAGGCAAGCCTGTGGTCCCGGACGAGTAGGGTAGAGCGACGACGTCGTCTGGTCTGATGTCAACCTCCGGCATGTCGTTTTCATCGGCTTGAAGAAGCTCGGAGAAATGCAAACAGCTCGGATCAGGTGGAGAGTCGACGCACATTAGCTTAATGTCGTGAACATCGTCACTTGATGAGGATAAGTCCTTGACCTTGTCGTAGTAGCACGCTAAGGTGATGATGAGTTTAGCTTTTGAGGCCTTGGCCTGCTTTAAGATCTCGGCGGGTGTGAAGAAAGGGTTCGCCGCGGTTGTCATAGCGCCGCGAAAGGAGGCTCCGAGGACGGCGAAGGCGAACGCTGGGGAGTTGGGGAGCAAGAGCATGATGACGTCGCCTTGTTGGATTCCAAGCTTGTTGAGCCCTGACGCGACTCTGCGCGCGTTAAGTTCCACATCGGCGAAGGTGTATATGTCTCCGGTGGCGCCGTCGATGATACAGGGCTTAGAGCTCGAGTGGTTTTTGTTGTGGAGGCAGTAGGAGTGGAGAGGGAGGTGTTTTGGGATGGGAATGTCGGGGAGTTTGGACCGGTAAACGATGTCGTTTGGGATAGTTTCTACAGCCATCTCTTGGAAAAATGGGATTATCCAATGAGAAAAAAGACACCAAAATTGTTGGTTTATTTTGAGCTGAATTGGTGCTTGAGGGAAGAAGGGAGGTCAATAGGGGTTCTTCATATACAACTGGATGTGTGGTTGGTGGGGGGGAGGGAAATGGGATTATGGAATTGTTTGGGGGTGAAACCGTGATAGTGAAAGATTGGAAATTTGATGAGACACATTCGGGGTTGGTGGTGATAGGTGACTGGAGGCGGAAGGGATGAGTGCATGGAGTTTGGTTGGTGAAAGTGGGTTTGGATGGTGGCGGTAGGTCAGGACAATTTCCAAAGGCTGAGGCTTTATTACACCAACCACTGGCTGACGATGGAATTGGTGTCCGCGAAGACCATACTGCCCTTTACCTACTACTACCACTACTACAACCACATGATTTGGGAGATGCGAGTCTCAGAGCTTCTTGGTCGGAAAGTGATTTTCACAACTCAAGATTTAAGAAAATACCAGGCTTGGAATTCTATTACAATTCTACTGTATCACTTGCTGTGGTTGATTACTTAATGAATCTGCTTTGTGCGGTTAGATTTATACCATTTATATCAAAGTTTTCCAAACCACATTTTTTATTGTGAAAATAGAAATATTAATTGCGAAGATTAATTTTCATTACAAATTGTTTCTAAAATTGATACATTTATTATGATCAGTTTGATTTATGAACTTAAAAATTGATTAATACCGTCTTTCAAGTTAATTACAAACAACTGAAGGATCTTTTTTTTTTTTTTTCCTGGTTGCTGTGCCGAAGAAAATCACAAACCAACGATTTTACCACTTCTCTTGTTTTCCACGTTTATTACCTTTTACCCGTTCATGTGTAGAGATCTTATCCTTTTGGGCCTAGCTACCTCTTTTTTTTAGTGGTTTATTTTACAGTGGAACAACTGCCAACGGAGAAATTCTCTATGGTTATGATGGTTCTACATGTTGAAAAAAATTGGGTCTAATTGTTATAATAAATCACATAAAAAATCAAGAAATAATTCATGAAATTATATATCACAATCATGCATGCACATGAATAACTAATGTTAAAATGAACATGATATAGTGGATTAGAAAAACCTAGAAATACGGTCGAGGCAAGTGTTAGACACTCTATTCTTAAGACAAGTTTACGCCCCACTACGGTGCTTATGGTTGATCGGTGCATGTCTACCAGGATACAATGACCACGTCCTTGTAATAGAAGCACTCCAAATCACAAGGCTCCATGAATCACGATTGTGTTGAAAGCCCTCTTGTATGAACTCAATGAAACTCTCTAATATTTAGTACACTCTATGTATGATTATGTAAAATAATGAAAAGCTCTTTTGTGATTATAGGGGGCTTCCCTATTTATATAATGTGAGATATCTCTTTGGAAAACATGTGACTATTCATGAAGAGTCAAAAGTTGCAACTCTTCATTTGAGTAGACATATCTTTCTACCAAAATGCTTCCCTTCTAATTTCCATTCAATTAAAAATTTAATATAATAATATTATTATTAAATTTTCCAACACTACAGACTCTCTGGGGTGCAAGAAACTTCCAGTGGGAGAACAAGGTTGAGGCTCCATAAGTCATTTCGTCGCGTACTTTGAAGAGGCTACAAGATTTTCAACATGGTATTATTTTTCCTAGTTTATCCCCTAAACCTACTATTTTTTTACTCCTGTAAAGTTGGAAAGGTCTCCATGTTGCATCTCCTCTTCATGCACAAGCTTCGGTGCTCATAAAATGTACGCTTTTGGCAACAAGGGGTTTTAGAATTTAGAGCGATTCTCTTCGTATCATATTTGTTGGAAGTGTGCCCTAAAATTCAATTATAAGATGATACTTACTGATATTTCATATACTAAAAAAATTTAGTTTAATACAAGGCACAATTTATTGTTTAAGGCCGTCTTATAAAATGTTATACACCTAAACAATCAGTCCAAAAAAAAAATGTATTAAAGAGAATGTAATCTAAAGAAGTTAAATTTAAAAGACCTTTCCCTCTTATAAACGTTTTTTTAAATGTTCCTGATCATATGATTGTCAATTGGGCATTGACGGTAAGACTAGAACATACTATGTCTTCTCTTTTCAGAGAGTGGCTGGTTTCGGGTCATTGATGTGAAAGACACCAAGGCAAGTATGTAGGTGCTCAGTAGAGAGTGAGTTCACTGAACACGATCAAACAAAAGTTCTCATACTCATGTCACATGATAACTCGTTAGTTGGGATAATGCAACGTAGTCCATTGATTTGAGACATCATGGTTATCTTGTGGATATGTCTTTGATCATTTGATGATTCGTCATAACTGTGGAGCCAAAAATAGTCATAAGGCGACACGTGGATTTTTGGATGAAGAAGACAAAAATACCCTTGGGGTATATCAGGATTCCTACGCGCGAGTAGCAGGCAATCATCCTCAACCAAGTCAGAAATGCCCAAAAAAGGTAACAATTCAAAAATTCATCTCATCAAATCCTTCTACAAGGTAATTCCTAAAATTTCTTTCACCCCATATATTATTTACCTAATTTCCCTTTTTTAGCTAAATCAATTAGCTAATTATTACATAACCTAATTATCTATTTATTCTAAATATTTTGTAACCACCAAAACATTCCCCTTATGTTTAATTAGCCAATTAATACCTATTAAAATTGGCTAATTAAACCAAAAATTAAAAACCCACCTAATGGCCGGCCACTCTTTCTCCAAAGAGGACCGGCCTATCCCTATAAATAGGCTCCCATTTCCACCAAAAGATGATTCCAACACACTTAAAAAAAATCTCAAATACTCTCTAAACACTTTTCTCTCTAAATTCTAACTTTGACATCGGAGGTTCTTCGGCCAATCCATACTCGTAGAAGACTCTCGCATAAAAAGGTTTTTCTCTATTTTCTAGTCCATTTGAATATTTTTCATACGTTCTTATTATTAGAATTTTTTATTTGCAAGGGTTTTTTGATACAATGTATAAGAAAAATATAATGGCTAGAAATTTAGAAAATTCCACAAAAGAAAATTCCAATACTCAAGAAATGGGACCACGGAGATCCATGAGGCAAAATGCAGTCGTATGCTGAGCGACACCACCACTACGAGGTTCCACCATGGCCCAATCCATGCCATCCAAGCTTACACGGGCTCGAGCCCAAGCCTCGCATTCGCATGCATCACGCACTGAGCAGCTTGCTCCCGTGATCCAGCCTGCTCCCGTAGCCCAAGTCTGCTCTTGTGATCCAGCCTGCTTCCATAGCATTGCCTGCTCCTGCAGCCTAGCCTACTTTCATGGCTCAGCCTAAGTCGGCCCAAGATTATATCAACCTTCCGGACCACTCTTTGAGCCGGAGGCATTTTCACCACGTTTCTCCACGGATTTGACATTTCCCAACTCAAATCTCGTGCCCGGGGCCCACCATCATTCCACTGCTCAAGGAGGCACATTCCATCCAAGCTCTTCCAATTCGAATGGTGAACAAAACTTGTCCTGACAAGTCATAGAATTGACGAGCGCCCTTGCACAACAGACGACCTTAGTAAATTAACTTTTGCAACGCACCGAGATCCAATGTGCCCTAGATGAGGTGTCCCGAAGTAGCACAAAGGCAGACGAGAAACCTCTCAAGCAGCCACTCAACCAACCACAGGTCGAGCATTCGAGCAGTGTACACTCCCGATTGGGTCCCCAAAACAACGTACACTCTCGTCTTAGCGGGCGGAGAAGCGCGCGCTCTCGACTAGGCCCACAGACAAGTATACATTCACGGTTAGGCCACGCTCCGATAATCAACATAAGCAGCCTTCTAAGCAAAGCGTTCATTCGCGGTTAGGTCCGTGAGAAGCATTTTCCACATCACATCGGAGAATGCAACATGACAACCGGAGAGAAGCGGTCACTCAATCCAGTTCAAGTTCAACCAGCAACTTGCGAAGAAACCCCTTGCCTGCTAAGAATCTATCTCATATACCACAACCACGACATAGACAAGCCGGGTGTAGAAGGGCAGCTTGGACCAGCAGATCAAGACTTGGGGCAGCCGAGAGCTCTGCTACCCCAACAAAGGCAGATCTAAGAAGAGGTAAAAAGACTTTTCAATAAACGATTGCGTGATTTCCAACGCAACGAAATGGTTGATGAAGTGCTAAGGCGATATATGACCAACATAAGCAAGTCACATTTCGCGGACGAGATTGAGCAGGCAAAGCCTCCACGCAAGTTTAGCATGTCGCACGTCACATCTTTCATAGGAGATGGAGATCCAAAAAGGCACTTGAAGCACTACCAAAGCACAATGGTCCTTTATCGAACAATGATGCCCTTATATGCAAAATATTTGCCACCACTCTATATGGCGAGGCACAAGATTGGTTTCACACCTTGCCACCACGATCCATCCAGAATTTTGATGATATTTCTTTGGATTTCACCAAAGAATACTCATCTTACCGCTCGATCAAGAAAAAGTCCGATCACTTGTTAAACATAAAGAAAAACCCAAAGGAGTCACTCCGCGACTACGTGAAGAGGTTTAAAGTGGAGAAGGCGAAGATTGTCGAATGTGATGACTCGATAGCAAGTGCAGCCTTCCAAAAATGACTCCCAGCAGACTACCCACTGTTCAGAGAAATGATCATGAAAGAAGACCTAACTTTAGTAGATTCCTTCGCCCTGGCAGAGAAACATGCACTTTGGAACGAGGCTCGGCGAACAGAAAAAGCGCCCGAGCAGCCTCAAAAAGAGTCGATAGCTGCTCAGAAGAAGGAGGACGGGAAGCCGCCTAGCAAGGGTAGGCAGGAGGCCAAGTGTAGGGTCCATCCCATAATTAAAGAAGGCCCGATAACCAAAAACTATTCTAAGTTCTCAATTCTGATCCATCAAATCCTTCGTGATATCAAGAAAGAGTCGTGGTTCAAGCTGCCGAAAAAATCAAAATGAGATACTTCCAAGTTGGACTATATCAAGTATTGTGCATTCTACCAAGGTCTCGGTTACATAACCAACGACTGCTACACTTGGAAGAATTATCTAGAGAAGCTCGTGAAAGAAGCCAAAGTCGATAGATACTTGGACAAGCTGGCTACGCAGC